TCATTATGATGTTCTCTCTAGGAATCTCTACTTCCTTCTGGTTGAGCATAGAGTTGTACTGGAGGAACTAGAGATTCCTAGAGAGGATTCTTCTCTCTAAATATTTATATGTCCTTGAGCACAATTCTATGGTCCTCTAGCATAATTCTATGACCAACAAATGTGGAGGCCTGACTGTATTATCAAAACATGCAGTCATACTAGTTGAGATTCATAGCAATGAAAGGTGAGGTGTCCACAGTTAAATTGGGAAGAACATTTTCTATCCATATGTTTTTGAAATGATTTGTAATTGTCAAAACTCAAGAGGAGAGCCTGTCTCAGTAGGCTCTCTCTTTCATGATGGGAAGCTTGATTCCTCTTCAAGAGACCTGGTATTAGTAGGACTTAGGCCTCTCCTACCCTGCCAAATAAAATCCAGGTTATCTGTTTTGAACTGGATTATATGGCAGTGTAGACTCATATAATCTAGTTCAAAGCAGATCATGTGGATTATCTGATTTGATAATCTGGATTATATGGCAATGTAGAAAGGGCCTTAGAGATAGGAGGAAAATTTTGTTAAATGGTTCTGTAAATGACCCCAGTCATGAACAGGATGACTCTGTGATGGATCCAATCAGAATGTAAAAACAATAAATGATGTCTTATCATGAGATTCATAATGTTTCAATGGGAAAGTGATTTTTCTCTCTTTAAGGTACCTTTCAAAAATGCCTAATAACCAAGACATAAATCCAGCCCTTAGTCCTGCTACAGTAGAACCTTTGATCACCAGAACTTACATAAGCTTGTAATTGTTGCATAAGTTTTCATGGATATATACCCATTTTTATGCAGTATGGACACTAGAAGAGACAAGCATGGCTAATACTTTGAAAACTGCCACACGTTTCTATTGATTAGGTGGGTTTACTCTAGTAGTTTAATGGTTTGAGTGTTGGACTTGGACTCCAGGAGAGCAGAATTTGAACCTCATTCTGCCATGGATACCAATTGATAACTTTAGGCAGTTCACACGCCCTCAGCTTCAGAGCAGGGCAAAGGCAAACCTCTTCAGAATAACCCTGAAAAAACTCTGTGATAGGTTGATATTAGCATCACTATAAATTAGAAACAACTTGATGGTGTACTGGAACCAGAACAAGCCCTAACTGGACTCAAAATTTAAAGAAAATTGGGGGGGGGGGAATAAGTCAGGGTTGTGGAATTTGCTCATAATTATTTTTAGCTACTAATATAAGTCTGAACAAATCTCTTAGTTCACATCAGAAACTGAGCTGCAAAGCAAATATTTTTCAACCCATGTACAACAATCCTTCCATTCTCTACCCCATCCCACACTGGCACACCACCATGCTTTGATTTTAAAAGCGTTGAAGATCTTTGTATTTTCCGTAGTATCTTATCGTCACTGTATCAACCACGGCCATTTAATTCGTATTATCAGTTATCTCTGGGTGTTTATTTGACAAGTGCTGCCTCTTTGTGAAGGAGCCAAAGGAAAAACTACTCTGAACACCATTTAAGGGATTATTGTTGACAGAATTACTATTTCTTGCCTTTCAAAGCAAGTGATAACTCTGTACAGACCTTCAAATTACAGCCTCTAGCAAAACTGGTAGCAGCTGATCTGTCCCAATTAGGTTGAGTCAACTTGTCAGATATCAAATTTGCTAGTTGTATTACCCATCTAAGAAGCACCGATACATCAGTAAAAAGCAATTAATGTCCAGTTAGATTGGGCAGGGCTGTGTTTCTGTGCAAAACAGGGCTATATATGAAAGAGTCTGTCAAAGAAGAAAATGTATTCCTGCTGTCACAGCTAATTTCTTGTGGCTGTATCACCTACTAACTATAGAAAGTTCAACACAGAGCGAATCTGTAAACCTGAACTCCAATGAAAGATAAAATAACTACAAGTTCCCTCAAGAGCAGCTGATCAGAGAATGCATTTGTGAATGTATTCTCCTTGAATCTGAATTGTGAATCTTTTTTATTGCGTTTATTGGGGTGGCTCAATTTAGACATTATTGAGATGCTGGTAGGGGGTGTTCCTGTTGACCAGAATCTAGATGAAATTATAATATTTGAAGGGGTCACATCCCTCTTAAAAAATCAGATCTGTATTTTCTTTGCTTGCTTAACTAGCATCTGATTCAAATATTTACTATATTTTTCTTCAGAAATAAAGGATTCTGCCACTGTCAGATTTGCTTAGTACAAGCTCAATGCGAGTTCACTACAATGAGGAAACTTCAGGTGATCCAGAACTTAGAAATTCTATTACTACTCAGTGTTGTGTGACATTGGCTTCAAGAGCTTTCCAAAGACCTCTTCATTTTGCAGGTGCCCCGCACAACCTCCCTCCTTCCCACATCACAAGGAGAGAACGGGACAAGGCACTTGGCACCCCCTCTTTTCCCCAACACATTGCCGTGTTGCCCTTTCCCCCATCAGATGGGGGAGAGGGCTCAGTAGAAGCTACCCACAGAATGTAACACTTGGAGAATGTTACTCGGTACTTGGAGAGTCAATGGGGCAGGTGGTAAATGGGGTGGGGGGGGGGGCAATGTAATGTAATGGTGCTTAGCAGGCCCCGTCCCCAAAGTGCTGCAACGGGGCAATTTCCCCAATGTGATGAGGTGGTTTGTTCTACAGGTTTGTTTCCAGGATAAAATCTTTCTACCCCCAATTATTACTGGATTTAATTATCTTTTGGTGGGTTTTTATGAATATTTGAGATTTGTTTTGTTAGCTTGATTGCTAAAATTGAAACATAGGGTGTATATGTTTCAGAATGAAATAGCCATAAATTCAAAGTTCTGGTTTTGACATATACAGCCCTAGAAGTTCAGAGCAGATGTCCATTTACTAGTATAGAATGTACTTTCTATTAACTATAGCAGCTGGTGTCTTCTTTTGATATCTCTTTCAGACTGCAGAGAAAAATCTGGAGTGTATTCATTGCTGTTCTTCCATGCCATCAGCTGCTGGTGAGATGAAAGCAATGGCAGAAATACTCTTCTAGGTACTACCCTCACTTTAAGTAGCATTGTATGTGATTAGAATCAGTGTGATGAAGCAGCTAAAAATCTGTTATTCTATGCTATATCAATAGTAGTGACTAGATTGAGGGAAGTAATAATACCCTTCTAATCTGCCTTAATCAGACCTCATCTGGAATAATTCGACCAGTTCTGGACACCACAATTCAAAAAGGATATTGACAAACTGGTGACCAAAGTGGTAAAAAGTTTAGATGCTAAGTCCTATGAAGAGCAGTTTAGGAAGCTGGGTATGTTGAGTCTGGAGAAGAGAAGGTTAAGAGGTGCCATGATAGCTATGTTTCAATATTTGAAAGTATATCACTGAAAGACAGAACAAGCTTGATTTCTGCTACTCTAACAACTAGGACAGGGGTCCTCAAACTTTTTGAACAGAGGGCCAGGACACAGTCCCTCTAACTGTTGAAGGGCCGGATTTGAAAAAAAAAAAGAATAAATTCCTATGCACACTGCACATGTCTTATTTGTAGTGCAAAAAGCACTTTAAAACAATACAATAATTAAAATGAAAAACAATTTTAACAAATATAAACTTATTGGTATTTCAATGGGAAGTGTGGGCCTGCTTTTGGCTGATAAGATTGTTGGTGGTGGTTTTGTTGTTGTTGTTGTTGTGTGCTTTCAAGTCATTTCAGACTTAGGTTGACCCTGAGCGAGGGCCGGGTAAATGACCTTGGAGGGCCATATCCAGCCCTTGGACCTTTGTTTGAGGACCCCTGAACTAGGGCATGGAGCCATGGATTCAAATTTCAAGGAACTACAAGGGTAGGAGCTGTTTGAAAGTGGAATTTGCTGCCTCCAAGTGTGGTGGAGCTCTGTAATAGTTTGCTTGACTAGTGACAGAGTAGTCACTCTTGCCAAAATAAAAAAATAGAGTATTATTGTAGTGGGAAGGATGTACTTTGGGGGGTGGCTTACATTGCAATTCAAGTATTTTTAGTAGTCTAATAAATATTTTCCTCTCAATGGTTAAATCTTGTAGAAGACATAAAATTGTTACATTGTTGATTAAAATTGAGCTACCTTTTATCGTTACACATACACATTGGACTCATCTAAACTTCCTTCGTGAGGCAATGGGTGTATCTACACCGTAGAATTAATGCAGCCTGGCACCACTTTTAGTCCCATTGTGCAATGCTATGAAATCCATGATTTTGTGGTATAGTGAGGCACCAGGACTGTTTGGAAGCAAAGTCTAAACTGCAACATTCAGGATTCCATAGCATTGAACCATAGCAGTTAAAGTGCTGTCAAACTGCATTAATTGTGAAGTGTGAATGTGCCCCTCATTTGAATAAAGATAGAAGGAACCCCTCTAGACCCTGAAAAATGACGAGGACCACAAATGTGTCAAAATGCCTAATATTATCCTCACCAAAACCCTGAGAACACTATGGATAAATAAATCCCACTCCCTCCAGGACACATGATTTTGTATTTCGTTAGCTAAATCAAGCTCTCTCTTTCTCAAAAAGGAATGTACACATTTTACAAAGAAAGAACTGGTGAGGAAAGGAATTATATTAAACATGTCTGTTTCAGAATGCTTTCCCTAGCCTAGAAAAAAACCATTCCATCCTGTGTTTAAAAATGTGTTGCTGTGGAAAAAAATATTCTAATTATTTGTCAAACAATCACATTTTCATGCCATTAATCTTCTAAAAACCTCAGTGCAGTTACTTCATTTCATTCCCCATTTTTGTCAGGTTCATTAAAACCATGAGAATAACTTGCTCAAGTTAGTTTCAGAGCTGAATGACAATCTCAACCCAGTAGGTGTTTATTGCTCTTGTTCTTTGCTGCAAAATTTATTAAGAATTCAACACACACTGAACAAATGACCAGAGCAGTCCTCACACTGGCATCTAAATCCATGTTCAAAATATACAAAAGCAAAGGGTAAAAGATTAGAATATGCTTGTCCCTTACTGTATCGCTTTGGTCCATCTTCCAAACAAAATGAAAGGGTTAAGGTTGCATCGTCTTCAAAAAATTCTGTTGCAAAGGCATCCCACCAGAGGTTATCACTGTCCTAAGAGGGAAGAAATAATTATTTTAATAAGAGGAAATCATCTTAGATTTATCGTTTGTTCAAGTGCTTATTGTGCCTTTAAAATATTTTAAAAGAAGGAACATGATTCATTCTATTTTTCAAAAAATGCTCATTCAGTGCACCTTGGAGCTTGAAAAGTCTGATATGGTCACATAAAAAACAAGCTTCTTCCTCTTCGCTGTATGACAAGTCCTTTACTTTCACAGGGGTTTGGGTACAGGATCTCCGCAAAAGTGGAAAAACTGGGCATTTTTTTCAGAAGGCTAAAAATTTCTTTCCTTTACAACCTTTTTAAACTGAATTATTTCTAAACAGAGGTCTTTTCAACCTGCACAATATAGCACTATGATCCCACTGGCAATCTTCCATGGAGTCCATGGTTTGTAGTTTTCTTACAGGTACTAGAGCTCTATGGTTGAGAATTGTAAACATCCATCCACAAACTACAAATCCCAAGGATCCATAGGATATTGCCACTGCACTTAAAGTGGAAATGAGATCATAGGGTTATAACTGCATAGTGTACTGTGGGAATCCGCCCTGAGTCCCTTTGAGGAGATAGAGCAGAATATAAATAAAGTATTATTATTATTATTATTATTATTATTATTATTATTATTGGAGCCCCTGGTGGCGCAGTGGGTTAAACCCCTGTGCCGGCAGGACTGAAGACCGACTGGTCACAGGTTCAAATCTGGGGAGAGCACGGATGAACTCCCTCTATCAGCTCCAGCTCCTCATGCGGGGACATGAGAGAAGCCTCCCACAAGGATGGTGAAACATCAAAAACATCTGGGCGTCCCCTGGGCAACATCCTTGCAGACGGCTAATTCTCTCACACCAGAAGTGAATTGCAGTTTCTCAAGTCCCCCCTGACACGATAAAAATTATTATTATTATTATTATTATTATTATTATTATTATTATTATTGTCACCACATGACTCCATTCTCTGCTTCTATAAAAGGTCCATACTGCCAGTATCGTTGAAATGTTGGTTTGTTTGGATTTCTAAAAGAAAACACTAAATCAAGTGGCATATGTCCGTGACAACAATATTTTAAAATATCTTAGAATATTTGTAAATCGCATTGCGATGACACATAAAATACTGCAATAAAAACAGAACATTGGGACAAATGCTAATGCTTCTACCCATTTCAGCAATTCCTACTTCTTCCTAGCAATGCAGATGCCAACAATGTCTCAAGATTGGAATCGGAAATGCAGGTAAGCTTGGACATTAAGGCTAAAGACTATTCCCCCACCATATTATCCAAATAACACCAGGATGTGAATCTTAGTATCAGCACCTGGGCTAGTTTGAGCATGGTTAGGTTGACAATCAATAAGGCATCCATTTTTTAAATGTTTAACAGGCAGGAACTGACCTATGCATATGATCAAATGATAGTATTTTTTAAAATGTACGATATTGTTCTTTTCTATAAGAAAATGATTCTTACTCCCAAAATAACTAACTATTCTATGCAGACTTTAAACATGCGTAACTGGGCAGTTGTATAAGTGATTCTGAATTTTTGTCAGTTTGTATAAGGTCTGTTAGACCTCTTTATTATACAGACTTCTCCAGGTTGTATAAACAGTCCATTGTACTCCTAAACAGGCAGAGAGGCACACAGGCCCAAATTCATTGAAATGCTTTACTAAGTAAGTTTACTTTGAGCATGTAAAGACAGGTCTCCAGTACAGTCTGTGGAATCCTGGAAGCACCGTGGACAGTACCCAGTTTACTGTTTAGTGAAAAAGCTGAGGTCCAAAGAAGTACCAGAGAACTCAAGAACATCCAGTATACAAAAAAGGTTCAAGAAATTAGACAAAAAAGGTTCAAGAAATCAAACACTTTGCAGTTGTCCATGATGCATGGAGATTTTTTAAAGCCACAAAGGTCATCTATGGCCCAGCAAATCATGGCATACACTCTCTATGTTCATCAGATGGAAGAGTACTACCATAACCTCCTTAACCACAGCTCCAACATGGCCAATGAGGTTCTTTCACAAATCCCGAAACAGCAGACCAGGGATGAGTTTGCAGTACTCCCTAGTTGGGAAGAAGTCAGCAAAAGCCATCAGCCAACTAAACAAAGCTAGCAAACTTGATGGGATTTTTAAAGAGAGCGGACCTAAGCTGACACAACAACTCCACCAACTCATTCAAAAAGTGTAGGTAACCAAGAAAATCCCAACAGACTTCAAGGACGCCACCACCATCACCCTTTTCAAAAAAGGGGGGGAAAGAACAAACTGTGAAAACTATAGAGGTTTCTCCCCTTCTAAACTACACTGGGAAAGTCCTTGCAAACCACCTTCTACCTATTTCAGAAGACATCTTCCCAGAATCCAAGAATGGCTTCTGCCCTTCCAGAGGAACAGTGGATATGATCTTCACTGCACAACAGCTCCAAAAAAAATATGCAGGGAACAAAATCAACCTCTGTACAAAGCATTCATTGATCTTGCAAATGCATTCAACACAATAAATTACAGTGCTCTCTGGACCATCCTCCAAAAAAATCAGATGCCCTGACAAATTTGTGAACATCCTGTGGCTCCTCCATGATGACAACAGTTTTGGAAAGCAATGGCTTCCCAAGTGACCCATTTAAGGTGGAATCAGGTGTCGAACAGGGATGTGTTATTGCCTCAACCTTATTTTCCCTCTTCATCACTATGATACTGCACCTTGTTGATAGGAAGCTTCCCACTGGCATGGAAATCACCTTTCAGACAGACAGCAAGCTATTTCATCTCAGCAGACTGAAAGCCAAAATCAAGGTCACAACAATGTCTGTTATAGATAGAATTCCAATATGCTAATGATAATGCAATTTGTGTTCATTCAGAAGAAGACCTACAAGCCACTCTAAACACCTTTGCAGAAGCATACAAAAAACTTGGTCTTTCACTGAAAGTGCTCTATCAGTAGGCACCAGCCAATCCCTCCACAATGTCAGAAATACAACTTAATGGTATAATGTTAGAAAACGTTGACCATTTCCACCACCTTGGCAGCCACCTCTCTACAAAACACTGACATACAAAAGTGTCTGAGTTTTGCAAGGGCAGCATTTCTTGAATGAAGCAGAGTGTTTGAGGATCTGGACATTCGTAGGGATACCAAAATGCTTGTTTATAATGCTATTGTCCTCCCAACCCTGTTTTATGCCTGTGAAATGTGGACCATCTGCAGACGTCACACCCAACTTCTGGAATGATTCCATCAGCATTGCCTCTGAAAAATGCTGCAAATTTCTTGGGAAGACAGGCAGACAAATGTCAGCATTCTGGAAAAAGCAAAGACTGCCCACACTGACGCGATGATCCTCAATCATCAACTCCAATGGACTAGCCATGTTGTCTGAATGCCTGATCACTGTCTCCCAATGCAGTTACTTTACTCTTAACTCAAGAATGGTAAACAGAATTTTGGTAGATAGCAAAAGGGAATTTAAAATGGGCTTAAAGCTAACCTTAAAAACTGTGACATAGATACTGAGAAGTGGGAAGCCCTTGAGCACTCTAACTGGAGGTCAGCTGTTAACAACAGTGCTGTGGAATTTGAAGAGGCACAAATAGAGGATGAAAGGGAGAAATGTGTCAAGAGGAAGGTGTGTCAAGACAACCCTTGTTGGGACCACCTTCCATCTGGAAAACAATGTCCTCACTGTGAAAAAATATGTAGAACAAGAATAGGTCACTACAGTCACCTACGAAGTCACCACCAAGGCCCTGCACTTGAAAGACAATCATACTCCGCCATGAAAGATCGCCTATGATGTTTAATTCTAAGAAGTTACTTCTCCAAACAAGCTTTTTCCAAGATCTGCTCTCCAACTTTGGTGAACATCTCTATGCCATGACAAGAATGGGGTACAACAAGATAACCTCAATATATCCACTAATGATGTACTATAGTTGTCACAGGTATTACACTTGCCCTTGTTTTTACTACTCTGACCATAACTGAAAGTTTAAATGGCTGGTGGCATGGCCAAGTAGGCTGTATCTGTACATAAGCCAATAGTCACTGGTACCACCTTTATGAAGTAGGTCTTCTCACCTGGGAAGTAGTGGACATTCCTATGAGTCAGTCAATCACTGAGTTGATGGAAGCTCTGAAAACTTCAGAGTTTCCATTCAGCTCATATATTTCTTGTCCTCATTTATATCTAAAATGTCTACTGGCTGGAAAGTGCAGAAAATACATTAGATTCTCTGGGTAGAACATTAAAAGAGCCTATTTTCTATCACAATTTGAACACCACCCAAGATTTGTTATCAGATTATTTTCTGCATGCTTTAAATCGGGAGGGCCCCCCTGAAATTGAAGCCACTTGAAAATATAATTATAGAGTTCAACAGTGAATACATATTTCCAATTAAAACTGCATGTTCTAATATTTGCCAGCAAGCCAAATGGCATTCACAACCAAAGAGTGGAGGAAACCAAACTTGGCGGGGGGGGGGGGGGGGGAATATAATTACAAGAAGGAAAAGTGATTTTCAAAATCCCCCCTTTTTGACAAAAAGAGTCAAGGCTGCCCCCAGGCATCCTTAACTCATGCACTGACAGGTTACCTGGGATTTTTGGCAGAGTAATTATTTTCCAATTCAGCAATAATGAGATATTACCATGGCAACCCTCCTTTCGCATAGCACACTCGTGCTCTCAAACATTGAAATAATGGACAAAAAATTAATACTTTGAAAAGTACTTTAAAAATACATTTCAGGCAAAAGGACAAAAGGAAGAAACTTGATGGTGGGTTCAGGAGAGCAGAAGTGACCAGTGACCCTTGACACTTATGGCATGTCGGGTTGTCAAGTAAGTTTTTCTTTAGTCAAACTTGCACTGCAAAACTCTCTGTTTAATTTTCCCCAGTGTTATAATGAACTCCCTTCAAGTAAATATTCTTGAGAGGATATCTAGCAACGCAGGAATGCATTATTCCCATA